CTGTGTCTCCCTCTCTCTCTGCCCCTCCTCCGCTCGAGCTCTGTCTCTGTCTGTCTCTTGCTTTCACTCAAAAATAAATAAAACATAAAAAACCTTCTTTTAATAAAATGTGTTTATTGATCACCTATGTGCTAGACAGGTGGTCACAATGTGTGTCCTCAAGGAGCTTACACTGTAGAACTTCTAATATTTTGGAGGAAGGAAAATTCATTTTCATGAAGCAGTTGAGTGTGTATGTACATCAGAAGAAGATGTAAGAAGGAGTTCCAGAACGTACTAAATTAAATAGTGGTGGCCTGTATTTGTTGAGCCGATGCTATATCCTGAGCTCAGAATATCTGTTTCTGTAAGCCTCACAATGGACCTATTTTTTCCCATTTTATAGATGAAGAAATGTTGGCTTATAGAGGGTAAGTAGGTAGTAAATAATAGGCAAGAGATTTGAACCCAGGCAGTCTGACTCCAGAGCCCCCGGCTTTAACCACTGCTCTCCATTGTATGATCTCAGTTGAATATAAACAAGTATTAAATGATGTCGTATTGATGGAAAAGGTCAATCTGGAAGGGAGAAAACTAACATTGGCTTCTCTTGGCATCGGTGGTGCCGACATGGGTGGGGTGACAGGCTATGAAGGCAGTGTATTAGTATCGAAGCCTCCAGAGGGGAGGGTCCTCCAGAGGGGAGGTCAGGGTGTGGTCAGAGTGGAGGATTCAGACCCAGGCCAGGCTGGTATCCTCTCCAGGATGGGGAGAGGAGAAGAGGCTCAAGATGGGAAACTGAGGCCCGTAGGAGAGTGGAGCAGCAAGAACCACGTGCTGACTGGAAACTCAGCACAGGGGTGGATTTGGAGTGGCTGAGCCTAATTCGCAGTCAGGGGTCTCTGTGGAGGGAAGGAGTTACCTGCCCTGGTCTTGGAGTCCCGGTCACACCCAGCCCAGTTCTGCGTTGCCACATTCAAAAAGTTCAGTGGCCAAGAGTGACACCTTTGTGGAGTGGCCTTGGCGGCCCCACCTCAGGGTCCCTGGGTCAGAGAAATGAGGACCTTCACAAGGGCCATCTCAGTTGCCGTTCTGACCCTTGGTCCTTCCTGGGACCAACTGGAGGTTACATTCCAAGTTTCCTGGGGCCTCTACTGGGGACCCCATGAAGGAGCGTTCACCTGGGGGCCGAGCAAAGCAGACGGAGGACCATGTTGTTCTATCTAGTGCTCTAATTTTTCTTTGGTGGCGTTGGATTTTCTTTCCATGTCTCACCTCCTTTTATACTTTGCCCATCACCGCTGCTGGTCACTGTTCTTTTCAATTTATACATTTCATGAATACGTTACTTCCATCCTTCTCAGTCATTAATAAAGATGTTAAATAATTCCTAACCAAATATTCACCCCTGTAGGGCCCTACAGGACACTTTCCTTTAATTAGTTGTGCTACCTTTCATCTCTCTAATGTCCTTTGGTCTCAGATTTCCAGCTGGTTTTGAATCCATGTGACTTTTTATGCGGTCCTGTTTGAACTAATTTCACCAGTGAAACTCTGAGAGACGTTTTACTGAGTGTCGATTCAGGTCCGTCCAAGCCTACAGAGAGCTTTGCTATATTCAGATTTTTTTTTTTTTAAACAGATTAATAGAGTACAATTTGGTCTTAATAAACTGAGCCTTCCTAATGCACCTCTTTCCCATATTCTTTTCAATCATAGCAGTATTTTCTCCATTAATGTCATGGTAATTTGAATTGTGTTGACGTCAGACTTCACAAAAAAAGTACTCTTACTGTCAGAAGCAATCCTCTTAGACCTTTTCAGAAATAACTATTTCTTAGTGGTTGTGCTGTTTCCAATATCTTAGAATGACTTTGTTTTAAAAAAATAAAAATAGCCGGGTATTCTGTAATCACCGAATTAACCAGTTTCTAATGTGCTCTCATATACAAAATAGGGAGTGATCTAAACTCATGAGCGACCAGGTTCGTAGGACCTTATTAAATAATTTACAATTGGGCAGCCATTTAGAAATAACTCTTATGTCTTTAAAATGTAGCTGACAGGAAGTAGACTATTCTGAGGTTAATCGCTGGACAACACAGGTTGTGAAGGTTGCTGTCAGAGGCATTTTGATTTGACATATGGAAATTCTTGGACCTAAGATGAGGGCAGGATCTCACTGTAAGGCTTTAAGGAAGTGTCTTTTCGGATCAAACTAGATTATGTTTTTAAATTAACCCCTTCTACGTGTCAGCTCCTGGGCCCGCTGCTTCACGCCAGGCTGTGAAATTAACTCTTGATTAAAATACAAAATAGATCTACAATAAGTGTGTGAAACATTTGTCGGGAGATCATTCTTTGCCTTCTGTCTGTAGAGGACTTTCAAAAACCTTTAGTAGTAAAAATAGAAAATGTTATATTTCTAAGAATTGTTGCAGCCATACAGGACAGCCATATAGCTACCCTCTCGTTTTCTTTTTTTCCTTGTACACCTGCACAGTTGATTTGATGAGGTCCTCTTGGTGGCTCTTTAACTCACTTATTAACATTAAGAGAGGTTCTCCAAGCAAACAAAGGACAACTAATCGGACCCTCTTTGCAAATAGACTGGAAGCATCGGCTTTCAAGAGACAGACCGGGCTGGATTTCATCGTAGACAGCCAATGGAAACTTCTCTAAACAATAAGGTTTAAAAATAAAATCCTTTTGAAGTAGCAGGGCTGTCTCTGCTCAGGGAGAAATAAGAAGTTAATAAGGCAACGTGGTGGGTCTTCTGATGGTGTTTACAGAACCATTTAAGGAGCAAAATATAACCCCCTGAAAATATTTTTTACATTAGTTATAAGGGTCTTTTTATCCTCTCCTGAGAGTAGAGAAGTAGCATGTACTTGGGGGTGTTCGAACATCTTGCTTGAGGAGATATCACAGTATAAACACAGGAATCCAGAAGGGCTGTCCGGAAAGAAACATGGGGCTCTCGGCCGACTTGGATGTGTATGTGAGTCTTCATTGGGATTCACATAAAACAAAACGAAACACAGTCCCATCTTGCCTCCTTAAGAAGGGCAGTGGACTTGTACTGTGCAAGGGTTGGCACATTTTTTTCTACAAAGAGCCAGACAGTGAATGGTTTAGGCTTTGGGAGCCCCGCGGTCCCTGCCACAACTATTCTGTGCCTGTAGTGCGAACGCAGCCGCAGGCAGTACGTAAATGAACAGGTGTGGCTGTGATCCAGAAAAACTTTCTTTGTGGACACTAATATCAGAATTCATGTATTCTCACATGTCAAGGAACATTATTACTTCTTTGACATTTTTTTCACGGGCCATCCGAAGGCAGGCGATGGACTGGATTTGACTTGCTACAGGCAACCACCTAGCACTGTTCTAGGGACCCTGTACGTGTTCAATAAATACTTGTTCACTTAGCTGTCACCATGTCAGAGCGAAGAGTAAGCCTTCTGCTATATAGCACACACTTGACATTTGCAAGGGATTTATCTTGAAGTCTTTGCTAATCCCCCCATTCCAAGTACCACTCGTGCAGATAATTTCCCCCATAAAAGGCAGTCAAGTATAACAGAATAATTAAAGTGACCCTTTCAGACCCTTCATGATTCTATAAATATGGGACTAAAGTCCTCTACTAAGTGATTAAAATAAATTCTGCCACCGAAATCAATTCTCTGTCACCTTACATCATGGCTGTGATGACATTAACGATGAATTTACCTCAACCTGCAGAACCAATCCATAGTGATAATGAGCGATGGTGACCGCTCTACCATATAGCACGTGTGTTTGCCGAGGAACAGAATAAAACATCCCTCGCAGCAGAAGGGGCAGCCCAAACAGCCCGGCAAGTCCATCATGATGAGCATTACACATATAAAGGAGCAGAGAATATGAGGCTGCTTCAAGAAGCAGGCGGTAGACAGGCGTTGGGCACAAATGATGCTCTCCCAGTGCCATAGTGGCTTCCTCCTAGATTTTAGCCTCTACGTGGCTACAGTTGGCATCATCACGTGATTATGTGTCTCTGGACTTGGGGGTTGTCTTCAAATGTCAAGAGTGTGACTATGAAATGCACTGGTGCTGAAGATCTGTATTTTATATTGGCCGGAGAGAATTTTTCTGTCCTGTTTTAGTCACCATATTGTAGAAGAATACAGATGTGCTGGGGAGTGGTCTATACAAAGAATAACAGAATGATCAAAATGAGAGATGGTGACATCTGGAGAAGAAAAGTGAAAGAA